TACGACCACAAAAATTTTTTTGCGGTCGTATAAAAACAGTAAATGCATTAATAATACACAGAAGACAAGTTTTATGAATGGATTATTTTAATCATGTAATAGATGGCATTTTATTTCCGGGGGAGATAACTCCAGATCGACAATGACATCCATTTTAAAGTAAACATGTTTTGTTTCAATACAAAAAGCACATTCTTTTAACAAAATAAAAATCTGTTCACAACTCAAATTAAGACACATACAACTGCTTTACAACCCGTAAAGATTGACATTTAACTTCAAATTCTCAGCCTTTGTTTCAGAGTTGTTCAAATTCTTCCTATTATATAGTTAGAAAAAATTTGAACGTAAAAAAAAAACCCATATGCAAATCAATCAGCTTTAGTTGTCCCCCTGTACTACAATTCTAAGTATGACCTTTGACCTTAACAAATGTCACAGTCCATGAACACACAAGCGAAGTTAAGGTTCAATCGTTACGGGTTGTAGATATACCTAAAAACAAACAGAAATTGTACAAATATTAGCTTTGTTACATTTAATGCGACAGAATTATTATAAGTCTCTAGTTCTACACTTGGTTCAAATTCCTTATGAAAACAACAATCTTCCATTTTGAAGATTAAACCAATATTCTTTGACACTGATTAAACCTGAGGTTAAACTGTATTAACTTAAACCAAGTTTAATGCTATGCATCACTGGAGAACCAATTGAATGGTTTTTTGTGGGTCTTGGAGAAGATGTTACTAAGTTGTAAAACTTGTGTCTGATCCATTTGTCATTTTGAACAATAAAATATGTTTAAACTATGGGTTTTGTGTCTTTTACTTTTTTCAGAACACTAGATCTTGAAATAAAATGATCTTAAGGCTTTTTCTCAATTACTGTTAAATATAATCTTTAAAAGCTTCCTAATTATGATTGTAAAGATTACTTATATTTGACATGAAACATGAGTAGCATTACCAATATGATTGTGACTACCCATAGGTGCAATTTTATGATAAGAAAAGTTAAAAAAAAAGTGAACTAGCGACAACAAAAAACCACAGAGCTTAATGATAAAAAAGGTACTGTGAAGAAAATAGAACATAGTTTAAGATGTAATGACCTGGGAATAATGGTCCAATGATGCATAGCCATACAAACCTACAGTCTCTTTACTACAAGTAAAACAAATAAAGATTTAGACCAATCAAAAAAGGTTTCTCAAAACTTTATTTCCGTATCTTGCCTTTTAAATCTAAAATGTATACTTTTAACAAAGTTTTTCATATTCAAAATAGTTATCAAACATCTTGAAATATTCTTGATTTTATTAATATGTTGTAAAATAAACACTTTTTGAAAGTGCTGGTCTAATTTGTGAGATTTTTACACAAAATCAAAGAAGCTTTGAAATATTTTTTTTGAATGGTCTAAATGTTAGCACTTATTTTTGGTACAGTTACAAAAAAGAGGTTGCAGTGAAATATAAACAACCTTTAACTTAACAATTAGAAATTACTCATGCATGACATTTATTGCACTGACCTTCAACTTTGACCTTTGAACATTTGATTTGAATTGGTTAAAAGACTAGTTACACATAGAAACAGCTTGACATGGGAATTTAAAGAGATTTAAAAAAATATGGAGGTAAACAGACAGAAATGATATGCAAAAGGTGAATAATAGAATTGTGGAAAATTCTCAGAGCTAGTGTGGTCATCTGGTCAGAATTAATCACAGCATAAATGATTATGAAAAATACCATTTGAATAGGTTCACTCATGGTTTAAAAACATTGTGGAAAGTTTTCCATACTGTCCAGATTTACATGAACACAGAGTTCAAAAGTATTGAACAAATGTCAATGTCTGAAAGAATAATTTCTAGCTTCGAATTCTCTGTGAACAACTTCACATTGAATTCTTATAACTGCCAGGACCATGTTTAATCGGTCAACAAGTTGTGTATGTTTATTAATCATTAGACAAAGTTGTATATTTAATCGTCTGACAAGTTGTATGTCAAGATCTGTAGGTTAATGATATTTGTTCAAAATTCAGAAACAGTCTGGATGCATATTTTGAATCAATTAAAGAAAGAGCTTTGGTGCCATCTAAATGTTTCGTTCACAAAAAATACTTTGGCAGTTTGAAGACTAATGCTGATCGTTTCTCAGACATGAGAGGGTGATAGTAGGATATTATTTTTGTTTCTCAGACATGATAGGGTGATAGTAGGATATTATTTTTGTTTCTCAGACATGAAAGGGGTGATAGTAGGATATTATTTTTGTTTCTCAGACATGAAGGGGTGATAGTAGGATATTATTTTTATTTCTCAGACACGAAAGAGTGATAGTAGGATATTATTTTTGTTTCTCAGACATGAAAGGGTGATAGTGGGATATTATTTTTGTTTCTCAGACATGAAAGAGTGATATTGGGATATCATTTTTAATTCATTTAATCTTTACTTATCAAAATCATTATTTCCAACACTTTGTTTTTAATCAAATGATCTTGTTTCCCAAAAAAATGTTTTGAATTAATTTGGACGACGTTATTATGCAATTCTTAAATTCAGATCATTGAAACTTTTCATTTAGAAGGTAAAAATTCGTGCCTGGGAGTTGCTACTTGCATTGCTCCTAACCATTGCCTCTAAGCTTCCATTTTATATAATACAGAAAGGGGGGTATCATATTGTAACAGGAGCGGATCCAGCCATTTTCAAAAGGGCGGTTTCAACCCAGGATAAAGGGGGGTTCCAACCATATGTCCCCATTCAAAAGCATTAATCTTCAAAAAAAAAAAGGGAGGGTTCCAACTCCCCCTGGATCTGCTCCTGCTCAAGGATAAGAGACAGAGAGACACAAAACGATCAGACTGCAAAATCCATCCACATCTTGTACAAGCTGCTGGGAAATTGAAGGACAACCAGAATTTTATCTGTGGCAGAAAAAGTCTATGAAGCCCTTACAAATATATCAATAACATTAGTACAGAAAAATTAAGATCTGGAACAGATATTTTAAATGTCTTCTATCTGAATACAACAAATTCTATCAGAAAATAAATCCTGAGTACTCTAATCTGTACAAACCAAAAATATGTGTGTCTTAAGTATGAATGAAAGGTCAAAGGTTAAAAATTAGGACAAAATTGCTTGACCATGGAAACAACATAAATCCATTCTGTTACAAAAAGCTGATATTAAATATTTGTATGTATGTATATCATTTCACCATGTGCAACCATTGCCAGGGAGAATTGATTTCACAGTATGATCAAATCAATAATAACTGCACCCTGTTTTTCAATATTAGTAGAGTTCATGTTTAACTTCATAAAAGTTTTTTTTAGTATGTTATTAATTTTAAAATGATGCTGTTTTCTATATCTATGTATACTATAGTCAATAAAAAATATATCCCATTTCAAAACTGTTCCTTCACAAATGTTTCATTATTTACACATTCAGTATTTGTTCGATTGGAAATTTAAAAAGTCTTGAAGACAAACCGATATTCTCATGCTTTGAAGCAATTCTGTGTCCATAATGGTTGCCATGGTAATTTGTTAGTTTGTGATAAAAATTGCTTTGTTTATAATATACATGGTATAAACTTCTCCAGTGGCCAATCATATTGGACACCCAGAGACATATATTGACTGGTTAAATATATCACAATTTACAAAGTCTCATTCTAAAAATAGCACAATAATGAAAGTAGGGAATCCCCTAATGAAACGAATTATTATGGTGACAAATAATAACTTAAAAAACATCTCATTCCATTCACAAATAAATATGATTCATAAACACAGTTATATTATTACACAATTAAAGCAAGAAAGATTTACAGGGTTACCTTTAAACATTGTTTATACAGAGTTCTTAAAATCCCTTCGAATAAGAGATCTTAAGGAAACTCCTATCTGAAGATTAATTATGATTCAACCAGATATATAAAACTTACCTGGTTTTATGATGAATGCACAGGAATAGTGCACTAAAGGTACACAATAGTGCACTAAAGGTACACAATAGTCACAATGGTGCACTAAATGTATACATTAGTGCACTAAAGGTACACAATAGTGCACTAAAGGTATACAATAGCTCATTCAGTTATTTCCTCCCTTCCACAGTCTGAATGGGAAAAACTTCTAGATTGGCAACCGCAATCAACCTCAACATTGGACTTTTCTTTCTTTCATCATAACAATTGAACATACTTTATCTTTAAGAAATGAGTTAAACTGTTAAGTGAGATTTGATTTTGTAGGAGTCCACAGTGGGAAGGAGGAAATCCATCTTAGTTGAAGTATAAAAACCTTCGGCTGTAACTTTTCTGACATGTTTTCATTGTTTATGTTAGGACAATCTTACAATATATCAAACAAATTCATCTAGAATTAAACCTATGCAATAACTGATACATCAATAAGGAGATAAAATGATACCCTAATAAGATAATCCTGGGAGTGACATACTGCTGTATAATCCTAATAAGATAATCCTGGGAGTGACATACTGCTGTATAATCCTAATAATATAATCCTTGGCTTTACATACTGCTGTATAAAAAATATCCTGTTATCTCAAATAAAGATTGTATACAATTGCCCCATCTTTTAAGGAGAGACAACATAGCAAAAATGATTTATTCAAAAAAATGTTTCATTATTTTTGCTATCATAATTGTACATTACAAATGTGGTAAAATATTGCACTTTCATACAAAGATCAACATTTAGCAAAAATAATCAGCACAAAAGAACAGTAATAAAAACTATTGTCTACAAAGTCATCCCAACCTGCCCTTAACACTCTAGATTTAAAATTTTTCAAAATGTTACCATGGTTACCAAAAGGACCTTTAGAGCATGGCTGAAAACCATTATGACGTGTTTAATTCAAAATCCTTATGAAGAGATACCTCACTGTAGTAAGATCAAATCTTAGAAATATGGTTCAAACTTGTTAACTTTAAAAAATTTTAATATTTCAAAAATGAGTGGTCATGTTGGCGCCATCTTGAACCTTGGATTATGGGAAGATATTTCTAGTTATCAGAAATGCAAATATTGAACAGTGCCAACATTTCTATATAAACTTTGGACTTTAGATCTTTCAAGTCTTCAGTGGAGGCCATTTTGAATTTAGGATTGTGAGAATGAACATTTGAGACAACAGTTTTGACCAGTGTCTTCCATGCCATTAGATAAATACATTACATATAAAAGTCTGGTTGAAAGGTTTTTTTCTCCTTTTTCACACATGCACTACCAACAAAATATATCTATGAACTGAAGTCTCACAGAAAACGTCTAAAAATCATTCATTCGATCATTCTTACATCATATGTATGTTACCATGGTTATGTCAGCTTGTTACCAAAGTTAACAAGGTTGTTTTCATAATGACTTAAATTCCTTGCTATAGTAAATTGACCTTTTTGAAAAAGAATTGCTGGTTGCTGCATCAATTTTCGAGGATCCGAGACAAAGAACTATTTTATTTACTTCACTGATGATTGCGTAGAAAATCATTTGCAAATTACTGAAAAATATGCAGGCATCTACTGACTACAGTCACTTGTTAACAAAACATCTGGAAACCAAAATTTGTTTTTAAAACTGTTCACAAATCTAATTCAACCAGAAAAATTCTGATTTTCAAAGATAAAAAGAGTGGAAGGCTTCAAATTGAATGCAACACTAACTAGCACTGTTAAGTAATATCACTTGACGTATTGCACTCAAAAGACCCTGTTCATATGGCAAGAAAAAGAATTTGGTCAAAATTGTGTTTACCGATGTTCGCTCCTCTGTTTCAAAATAACAAGCTTTTAAAAAGACTATTATAAATTGATAGATATAAGAAGATGTGGTATGAGTGCCAATGAGACAACTCTCCATCCAAGTCAAAATTTATAAAAGTAAACCAATAGTATGTTAATAACAGAACTTAAGAAGCAGAAAGAAATGAAAGGTCCATGTCCTTGTTTCTGAGATATAATCAATTTTGGCGGAAAATGTCTCTTCATACATTTAACATTGTAATCTTTTTTCTTTCTAAAACTAAGAAAAAATAACAAGTATTTTATACGATTTTCAAAATTGGCCCTTTTAAACTTTATGTAAAGGAAATTATGAAAAGAAAAACAGGGGTAAGCAGGCAAAATTTGTGCTGCCACTACATGGATAAAACTAGAAAATTCTAAATATTTGACAAAAAGTCAAAAACAAGAGAAGTGAACATCCTTAAAAGACATACAAATAAATCTACCATGGGTTTGCTTGAATAAAACAACTTTTCGATGGTGTTAAGTGCTCATCTACACAAATTGTATGAAGGATTTTCGGGGACTGTTCAAAATGAAGCAGTTTTTTTTCTAACCGAATAATATCATAATATTTGGTTGGTTGGTGGGCGAGTTTTTGTATGTTACAACAGCTCTGTATATTTTGAAGATTAGGATGGGTGGTCAAAGCCAAATAAAATGGATATTCATTTGAAAAAAAATGTCACATTTTGAGACAGTTCCTAACAAGAAAAGATTTGAGTGTGTTCATCATGATTGCACAAAAATTAATATTACATCAATTCTTCCTCAAGATTCACTATTAAAAATACAAAACTAGCTGACATATATACATATGGAACCAGGCTTCAACATCAAAGGTAATAAACAAAAACTTCAAAATCTTTTCCATGTAAAGGTAGATTTTGTCTTTTTCAAAGCAAAATGCCCAACATATACAGATTAATGTCAAACCAGTCTAAAAATAGCACAAAAATGCAGCGAAACCCCAAATGTTACAATTACATGAAGCCTGTGATCTGATACTGTATTACAGAAACCTGATTCTAACTGCAAAATGATTATAACGAAAAAAAAACCCATTGGTTGAAATTAATTGACCATTCTAAAAATAGCACAATACAAAATGAAAGTAGGGAATTCCCCTGACACACAGACACAGCCATACACACTCATAGAAAACAAAGGAATTCCTATCAGACTGATACAGAATAAATAGAGTCTACATTCACCACAGAACATCTGAACTAACACATGGAGGTCACCAAGTGATAAAAGTAATGTTGCCCTTTCACTTTCTGGGTGATATCACCCTCAGGGAGATATCGCTTTAATGTGAAAAAATCAAAATGTAAAAAAGCTACATTTAAACATTGTTGAATGTGTAGAATAAATTATTATGAATGTCATCAAGAAAATATAAACCTCCTGCATAACATTTATAGCAAGTACATGTAGGCCCTGATGTAATCAATGGTTATAATTGGTGAAGTCATGTCATTTTAGAAACATTACGTCTTTCATAAAAAATAAAATAAAAAATCTTACATCTTGATAAAAAAATCAGGGAGGAAATCAAATCGGCAAAGCAATGTAACCCTTTTTACAACTTACTAAATTGTTTGGGTTTTGCTGTCACACTGAGAATACGATTCTGATAATATAAATTATTTTTCATTCCTGACCTTCAGGAACAACTATTTTTCCCAATAATTTTATTTGAAGAACTTGCCTGTAAAGCTATATATACAGCTGTATTTTTTTTTTGAAAAATGGTAAGCTAAATAGTTATTACAAAAAAAAGGATTTCTAAATCTTTCACATTTTGAAAACTATTAAAACCAGGATCATGACAAAAAATATTTCATGGATAAAAATGAGAAAAATTGAGTCAGCAATTGAAGGAAATATGAGTACAAGGTTAGAAAGAATAAATAATGTGTAATAAGTCTTCTATGCACTAATATTTCAGATCTGACAGACCTTCAAAAATATATATTGCTCAATTGAATAATTGTGAATACAATGATATAAAGTATATTGAACACTCTGAAAGGTTCTTTTAAGAGAAAAACGTATAAAAATAAGCACTTGAAAGAAAGTTAACTTCAACCAGTTTAAATCAAAGTGCTTAGTAGCACTAATGGAAACATTAGATGTTAAATTCTAACCAGTAGAAAAGATTCACCATCTGACAACCGATGTTAGAAAAAAAGCAATTCCGTGTATGAAAATCTCTTCTTTGTTTGCAACTGGAAATCGGGAAATTTTTGGCAAAATTTTGCCTTGTAAATTCATAAAATGACAACACCTGTATCCCAATGAAATGAATATTTGTTCTCAATAAAAACCAGGAAATTGTGGACAAAACTTTTATCACCCAGGAGGACCATGTTGTGTTCAGACATTTATCTACTTTTAACAGGTTTACCATTATTATAATAATATAGTGTTAGAAAAAAGGTCCATATACGCTTCTCATCTTTCTCTTAACCCAAGTCACAAAAAAATCTGACAAGAGAAAGACCGATTTCTGATCCTGGGTAACCATGGTTTCGCCATCGGCAACGATCTCTCATGACATTTGCCGTCGTCCAGAAAAATAACAAAATAGAGTTAGCAGTTATCTCCCTTTTTCACTTTCTTTCCGCCGTTCCACAAAGAAACACAACATATTTGGGACGTTCAGCAAGATGTTCGACATATTTAGTTGCTAAGTGATGATGATGGTTGCCAATGACAACAAATGCATCTCCATGACAACACATATAAACATACTAGCTGTCATATAAAGTATAGTTTATTTCTGACCAAGGCCACTTTTTCACGTTTTCATGGAACAACGTATTGGTCTGACTTGTCTTCTCACACTAAATTATATTCCTTTAAATTCAGTTGCAGAATCGTATCCTTCACGGCTGCAAATACGAACCTAATATTTTCTGTATCTGTAACAAAAAGGAAAAAATCTATTTTAGAGAGAGACGTTTCAGACATGTTGGAAACTTCCAAACTTTTTGGTTCATTAAACACATTAATTTTGTACCTGATGAAAAATTTTGAAGTGTTGAGTTTCAAACTATTAATGATTAAACCAACAGGTTGATTTTTCGTGAATAAGAAACTACAATCTAAACTGCTTGTGAGCACTGAATGATAAAGATGGCTTTTCATTTTGCAATGTGAACTTAAATTCATAGATTGCATTATGTTTGGCAAAGGAACACATAATGGAAATATTTTCAATTAATAATTTTTTGACAGTTGAACTTGTTTTTACACCCTGCAAAGCTGAAGCATTTTTTCCATAAAAATAGTTCTAATCACAAGTATGGTTATAGAACTACATTTTATTTTGTAGCTTGAATATCTGGGTATATTATAATTAATAAATGGCTTGAAATGTGCATTGTTAGAAAGAATGTTCTAATCACTGTTAAATGAAAAAAATTTTGTTCTCTTAAAAGATGAGACGAGACGAGGCCAGGAAATATAACTATCAAGTCAATGACAATACGGTTATGATTGCATTTCATTCTATTTTCCCCCTTAAATGCTTATACACAAAATAAAGTATTGTACCGTACCTACTCGCTTATTAGTCGGAAAATAGGGAGTAAAATTCATAATCCAGAGAGGGGGACCGACTAATAGACGAGATCTAGCGACCAGAGGAAAAATCCAAGCTTGAGAAAAGTGGTCAGGAGTGAATTTCCTGGTCAAAACTACGTTTTTGATTGCCAAACCTACATAAATCAATAAATAAAAAGTTTTTGTTGAAAATAAATGACTACATTACTAGCTTTGTGTTTTATTTGTTCTTTGGTAAACATTTTCTGCAAATTCGTGTTGAAATTCTACTGTTTCCGGTTTGTGTATTGATTTTCATGGTCACATGGTTTTCCTATAAACCCAAAAGAAGAGCCAAGAACCAAAAATGAAAAGGAGATAACAATGTACCAAATATGTGAAAGGATGTTTTCAGCGGTGTTATTGTGTCATTATTGTGATATCATGATATCAATTCAATGCTTATAAATCATATAATAATCAAAAAATAATTTTAAGATTCATTCCCAAAATCAAAATATTATTCATTAAAGTGTCTCAGGTAAGCAAAAATTACAAAATTGATTGACAAGCCAATATAATCCATTGATAACCCCAATTAAGAGACAAAGAGTTGTATTTACTAAAGGTGTGAAAACTATCAGTGATAGGTAAACAGATGACACTAATGAGTTGGAGTTAGTTATTTTAATATATTGATAAGCTTCACTTAATTTTTTTAATCCTTTAATCATCACAATATAATAAGAATTATGAAGTGTACATGCTCATTTAACACCGAGTTATGTATGCTGTGAAAAATATTTTCATCAAGTGTTGATTGACTTTAAATTTTTCAGGTTCATATTGGTTTATATTCGCTTTTCTCAAACAATAGGTTGTTAGTCATACCCTACAAAATCATTGATGCATTACGTAAACAACACATGGCTAATCTAACATTTGAACAGTGAACAAAACAAGAGAAATGAATACATCTTTATTATTAACAGCAATATAAATTATCATGATGAGCATCAACTAAATTCAAACCAAACATTAATGCAGAAATGAATATTATTCCTGGATTTGCATTGGTTCTACCGGCGTTCAGTTACTGTCAGCTGAAAAAAAAATGCCCAAATTTTGTCCGACTTATACGAGGGTCAAGACTAAATCCTTAGAATTTGGAGCTGAAAAGGGCCCCCGACTTATAGTAGGATCGACTATTAGGCGAGTTTATACGGTACATTAATAAATTTTTGAAGCATCAAATACTCCAATATGTGAAGTTAACAGTAAATAAAGATTACCTGTTGCACATGTAAAATGAGAATATATGATCTTGTCTGGGTCAGGATTTAAATCGACAAACATCCTTAAAATAAACTCTCGTGCTGCCTGTGCATCCTTCTTTGCACCTAAAACAAAAGGACAACAGATGACAGTATTAGTAGGAAGACTATGTCATGTTTTTTTGTCGTAAATAAACATTTATATTTCAGATAAACTCTCTTGCTGCCCATACTGCTTCATTTGTTGTATCTGGAAAAGAATTGTGTTAACGTTCTATATTAGCACCCTAATTTTGGACTATTTGGACCTCAATGTGGACCAATTCAAAAACGGGGCCCAAAATCAAAAACATAATATACAGTTAGATTCAGCATACGTGAAAAGAACCCCAAGAATTCAAGACTTTGAATTAAACCCCATTGAAATTGGTCAAGTATAAGCGATTATTATTCAAAGTATTAGTAAAGTATTGTTTTTGACCCCTTCTTCTTATACAGTTAGGGTCATAACCCTCCATCTCAACTGTCCTTTTTCGATAAGGAACCTTGTGATACAATTACATATAGTTACATAAACTTATACTCAAGTAATTGTCAGGAAACCAGAAAATCTTGTTTTTGGCCCCCAATTCCAAAACTGTTTGGGCCATAACCCCCAAAATCAATCCCAACCTTCCTGTCGTGTTAAGGAACCTTGTAGTACAATTTCATAGAGATCTACAATTATACTCAAGTTATTGTCTGGAAACCAAATGTCATCGGATGATGATGATGATGACTGATGACGAAGAAGACAACGTCATACCATTATACAACCGTGGTCATATAAAGCAAGTACAACTGTGAGCTACTTCTCACTAATGATGCCCCTGCTTTTAGAATTCTGTAAATGGGAAATTGATGAGTAATGAATCTGAAACTAATCACCCAGTATAACATGTTCACAAGAAGTTAGAATATTTTTATAAGTACTGTAAATTCAGAAATTATTGTGTGCATTTATTATTGTGATTTTTATGAAAAGACAGAAATTGGAGATAAATTATTGCGATTTCAGAAAAAGCTACATACAGATATATGTTTCAGATATCAGAATGTGAGTTCGTATTATTGCAATGCTCAACCAGTCACATTACTTGCACTAAAAAAAGAACTTGCATTAATCTCTGAATTTTCAGCATTCAGTAAACAGGAAGTTGCAGGTGAATGAATCTAAAACTGCATTTAAACAGTATATATGACAATGTATAAAACTGATAACCCATTTCACTGATTTCAGGATGCTTTCACTTATTGTTCCTGAGAAAAATGCAAAGACATTTTTTGGACGGACAGACTGACATATGGACTGACAGAGATTAAACAGTATACCCCACTCCTTCACAGCAGAGGTAGAACTGAAGACTGAGCACCACAAACCCCACCAAAAACCTCGTCATCCAGAAGGGTAAGAAGATCCTGCTCCACATGTGCACTGTGTTGCTGCCTGAAGTACAAACCTGGTCTAATTCAGTAGGTCACATTCAAGGGAGAGACCTACAGGACAGGATATTTAACATGAAAGAACACAAAAAATTTTCCTCAGTCTATTTAAAATCTGTATTAAATTCTATAATGCTACATGTATCAATAATGTTTCGTTCCTACTAAAAGTCCAGTCTATTTAAAATCTGTATTAAATTCTATAATGCGACGTGTATCAATAATGTTTCGTTCCTACTAAAAGTCCAGTCTATTTAAAATCTGTATTAAATTCTATAATGCTACGTGTATCAATAATGTTTCGTTCCTACTAAAAGTCCAGTCTATTTAAAATCTGTATTAAATTCTATAATGCTACGTGTATCAATAATGTTTCGTTCCTACTAAAAGTCCAGTCTATTTAAAATCTGTATTAAATTCTATAATGCTACGTGTATCAATAATGTTTCGTTCCTACTAAAAGTCCAGTCTATTTAAAATCTGTATTAAATTCTATAATGCTACGTGTATCAATAATGTTTCGTTCCTACTAAAAGTCCAGTCTATTTAAAATCTGTATTAGATTCTATAATGCTACGTGTATCAATAATGTTTCGTTCCTACTAAAAGTCCAGTCTATTTAAAATCTGTATTAGATTCTATAATGCTACGTGTATCAATAATGTTTCGTTCCTACTAAAAGTCCAGTCTATTTAAAATCTGTATTAAATTCTATAATGCTACGTATACGTGTATCAATAATGTTTCGTTCCTACTAAAAGTCCAGTCTATTTAAAATCTGTATTAAATTCTATAATGCTACGTGTATCAATAATGTTTCGTTCCTACTAAAAGTCCAGTCTATTTAAAATCTGTATTAAATTCTATAATGCTACGTGTATCAATAATGTTTCGTTCCTACTAAAAGTCCAGTCTATTTAAAATCTGTATTAAATTCTATAATGCTACGTGTATCAATAATGTTTCGTTCCTACTAAAAGTCCAGTCTATTTAAAATCTGTATTAAATTCTATAATGCTACGTGTATCAATAATGTTTCGTTCCTACTAAAAGTCCAGTCTATTTAAAATCTGTATTAAATTCTATAATGCTACGTGTATCAATAATGTTTCGTTCCTACTAAAAGTCCAGTCTATTTAAAATCTGTATTAGATTTCATAATACTATATCTATCATTTCATTTCATTCCTACTAAAGTTCACAATTTTAGAATATTTGTATTACAGATAAATTACACAGTAGAAGTTATATGTAAAATGATACTACAATATCAAGTGTCTCTAAAGATACAATACATTTAATTACACACGTCAGAAAAGTGCCCTGTAAACTTATACCCCTGAATCAATTTTCTTACAAGATACAATGTATTTTAATAACCCCCATCATCATTTCTAATGTTTGATATATCCATTTACAAATTTTCCATTGTTTTCTGACTACATGACTGAAGGTAAAATGTGGGACTCATCATTAACCAGTCAAAACCTTGCAGCATTCATTAATGTTCAAACAAACATCTTTCTATGTTGTGATGTTACACTATTGTTTCAGATAAGGGTGAAGGTTTGGTACCATTAAAAGGTTTAAACCCGCTGCAATTGTTTGCACCTGTCCTAAGTCAGGAATCTGATGTTCAGTAGTTGTCTTTTGTTGATGTAGTTCATAAGTGTTTCTCGTTTTTTATATAGATTAGACCGTTGGTTTTCCCGTTTGAATGGTTTAACACTAGTAATTTTTGGGGCCCTTTATAGCTTGCTGTTCGGTGTGAGCCAAGGCTCCGTGTTGAAGACTGTACTTTGACCTATAATGGTTTACTTTTATAAATTGTGACTTGGATGGAGAGTTGTCTCATTGGCACTCATACCACATCTACTTATATCTATTGTTTTCTTACTATTGTTTTAATATAATTCAATAAGCTGAACTGAATTTGAAACATTTTCACTGAGTTTTCTGGTTAGATTCAACATATAAGGATTTTAAAATACCTGTATATTTGTACAATACACTGCTTTTCCTAGCGCAGCTGGATACGACTGCAGAGGTCCAACCCTGAACAGTAAGGGCAAAAAGGACACAATATTCAAGCTTGATACAGGTCTGAATTTGGATTGTAATTAAATATTTGACACATAAAAGGTTTCTGACACAGAATAACTGTAGTCAAAGAACTTAGAATTGGTTATATGATTTGAATTTATATTCAATTTTTTGCTTTTGTGCAATACACTATGCTGTTGCGAATTTTCAGTCGTATAAAAATGTATTAAGATGTATTCACCTTACAGTCAGAGGACTTACTTAAATGAGTGATTTTCTAAATCACTTATTCAAGTAACATTATGTCCAAAAAGGTTGGAAGTAAGAGTTGTCTTTCTTTAATAATCACCTATTTAAGTAGTACAAATTAATCACTAGACTAAGTGATTTAATTTTATTGTAGCTTTAAATATAGAATACTAATGATCCAGGGACTAATTATGTTGCTAAAATTATCAGAACCAACATCTGTGTTGATAGGATGACTGGGTCATGTCAGGTGATGACCTTGTACTAAATCTAGGATAATGACATAAAAATCACTTGTTTAAGTATCATACCTCAATTTCCTTCCAAAAAATCACTTCTTTAAGTATCATTATTTGAATAACCCCCACTAATTTAAACACCCCCAAACAGTGAAATTTTGATCGCGAACAGTAGAATTTTATTACATAATCTGTAAGATGAAACCTTGAACTTTACAGGAAAAATACTCCCACTGCTGGGAAAAATCTGTTAAGAAAGTATCAGTTCATTACGTAAAGCCATTTTTATAGCATTTTTTCAACTAAAATAGAATTTGCAGCTAAATGATTGCATCAAAGGCATAAACCTTGCTGCTTAAAAGAAGGAAAAAGTTCATTTTTTTCAATTTTACTAATGAAAAGATATTATCTAAACCTATGTGTTTAAATTTTGGTAAAACTACAAAATCACAATTTGCTACTTAAATAAGTGATTTAAAAATCACTTATTTCAATAAGTCCCCTGACTGCCTTACCAAAAAATAACAAAATATGAAGGATTTAACCAGATTTTCAGGGATATAGCTTAAGAATTGGGGTTACTGAGCAAAACTATTCTATGCTATAAAATAACTAGTCCAGTGAAGCTTACAATAAAGAGAACAAGATGGCCTACAAGACCAACAAACATTCTTATAGGGGGAGGGTAGAGAGCTCACAAAACATGTTTAACCCTACCATATTTTTGTGCCGGTCCCAAGTCAGGAACCTCTAGCCTGTGTAAAACTAAAGTGTGTTTTTTTGGTTCATTTGTATGTTTCAGAGTTCAGTGCGGCATCCATTTTGCTCAATTAGTATACATTATAATTTAGGAGCTAGCTAAAGCCCACCTCTGGATGCTAGATTTTCTCGCTGTGTTGAAGACCTATTGGTGGCCTTGGGCTGTGTGTTGTCTTTTCATCGGGTTGTCGTCTTTTTGACATTTCCCTGTTTCCAATCTCTATTCTATTAAACCACATAATTGCTGGTTGAAAAATTATGATCTTTTTCCCCCTTTACTGTTTTTGTTCATTAACACATTAAAATTTGTGATTTTATGATAAAAGTTAATGACTAAAATATTTTACAATTAAAACATTTCTCATCTAAAACAAATATTCATGTTATCAGCAATATTAAAACATATAAATCATGACCTCTTTAACATTGAAAATGTTGTACAACACATTACTATGACAACCTCCCACTTAATGTCCCTATGATTTACATATGTAAAAAAGCAAATATAAACAATCAATTTCAAGTAACAGTTTAAAAAAATATTAAAGTCACTCGATCAGGAACAGCTGTGGATAGAACAGACTAGAAAACTGACATCTGTAATGATTTTGGAATGCATATCATATTTAAGTATCAAGTTTCATTTAAATTCAAACAAGAAAAGACGCAGGGATGTGGAAATACAATGCCCAATTTGTTTGACTGGTGTAATAATCTCCTGGTCAAGTAAATATGTTCCAACTACATGTCTGAGACAAAATAATTCTGTAATTGCACAGCCAGTAGGGACAAGAATTTTTTTTTTAATGCAAGTAGATTTTGATGTAGTAATTAGTTTTTTGACAATTGAAGAATGTTGATATACATTTACACACCCTTTGGGATGTTTCTAAGTATTTACAACTTTTAAATAAAAAGTAAGATGGGCCCTAATGATCACTATATGAGGGTCTTGATGGTGTTTACAGAATAGAGAAAAATGCACCAAAATTAAGAAGCAAAGAATAATCATGATAATTGGGTGCTAAAATAAAAAGATTACAGAGTAATTGGCAAAATAAATAGAGAAAATGGCCTAAAATTTAAAGAATACAGAAATGAATACAACTGCATCCAGACCCTTATATATACCCACACTTCAGAAAGCTGACATGGAGATACGGACTGCCAATATATCAAAGAAATCAACCAGTTAAGTCAGGGGTTACTGACACAATTTTAAACTATTTTAGATTTTACGGTAAACTAATTTCCATGTCATTAGTAATAAATAAAACACATAAATCATGACCTGTTTCACACATGAACATGTCCTATTACAAATAAAACAACCTCCCACACCATGTAGTTACATCTCCACCGAGGATGTCAACAAATGTAGGACAATCATTTACATGATTTATAACTAACAATTTCAATCAAACTTAAAAAAGATACACTACACCTCAGGTGGATGTCTTTCTTTTCAACCTGTCCACTGAAAAAGTGGACATAGAATGGACATTCCCTCAACATGAGCATCAGATTTAACACAAAATTCCAAGCAAACAGGTCATCATAAGCAAAAAGTCAAAAAAGCAATTCTTAAATTGAACTCAAACCAAAAAACAACAAAGATCCATATAAAAATCAGGAAATGTGGTATGATTGCCAATGAGACAACTATCCACCAATGTTCAAATGAAGTGGATGTAAGCATTTACAGGCAACCGTACGGCCTTCAACAATGAGCAAAAATGATACCGTGTAGTCGGCAATAATACCCTTCATTTTAGATTTATCCTTTAATGCCATGAATGGTGCTCATTAAAGACTAACAGTGTAATTGATACTTAGAAAGAGAAAAAAAATATTTATTGCACATTTAATTGTGTGTTATCAAACATCTTTTTGCTGTCAATCAAGTATCAATGGTTGTCTACAATACTCTGACTTCAGGATGACCAAACACTTCCAAAATATAGATCATGTTGTTTATCTAAAAACTCTTGTATTTTGCAAGTCTGCAGACTGTGTACAAATGTACATTGGGCTACATTTTTAAGATTGAAAATTCAAGAAATATCTAAAAAAACAAAAATCAAAACTAATCTTAACCATTACTTTCAGGGGGGAATATAAAGGGACTAAAGGAGATCTAAACTCTAAACCAACCATCAAAATCAGGTGGGGGAATGTAGTGGGAACAGGGACTAATCTAAACTTACCATCAAATTCAGGAAAGTAATCTACCAAATGTGATAGCATAATTTTCTCTTCTAGGAGATCTTTCTTGTTGAGAAAGAGGATTACTGAGGAGTTCTGGAACCATGGGTATGTGATAATGGTCCTAAACAATGCTTTAGATTCCTCCATACGATTCTGAAATGGAAACAAACACTTAAATCCTGTAACTAAGGACTGTGCGAATGTTGCTATGTTATGATTCAGACTATTTATAGCTCAATATAGACACGCTTGTTGATGAAGACCTTTTGACCCCAAGTAATTGATTTACACATGTTTTGGTGAGCCACATGAATCAAAAACAGGAGGAACTTCTATCAAACAACCATCAAGAAATATAGAATAATGGCTTTTTTGTTTTTGATACTGACTTCATCAGCAACAATATCAAGAGAACTTGCTTAGACCAACGGATAATTGAGCTGAAAGAGTCAGTGTAAAAATAATAAATGCCATTATTCTTTTTATTGACAAATTTGTTTTTCAGCTATATGGTTTTTTTTGTTTGGAATATGAAATTACATGGAGTATTCAGTAAAACCTTTTGTGATAGTTGCTAGATCTTGATGTCGCATGCATTTAACTAATGAATTGACATGTAAATGTGACGTTCCTTTATTTTCACGTGATGTTATTGCCTAATATTTTTTAATATCATGTCTTGTCCTTGATCTACAAAAATTATTAGACACTAGGGCCAAATGGAAAATGTACAAATTGCAAATAAACTCATTTATTGACTGTCATGAGTTTAATTTTTACTTACTTCATGACCTTTTGACCCAAACTAACTGATTGTACTTACTTCATTATCAGATTCAACTAAGACTTGGTCATATTCACTTAAGGCGACTAGGAACATGATGGACGTTACATTTTCAAAACAATGGATCCATTTACGTCTTTCTGACCTCTGGCCCCCTACATCAACCATTCTGTAAAATAAAAAATAAATATCTATATACTACGAACTCCCTACGTGATCCATTATCTTTATAAAACAAATGAACTGTTAACATGTGCATTTCAGTATCTATTTTTGTGTCCAGATGACCCTTTGGGTAATATTTTTCTAGGGTAAAAGTTTTTATATGTGTTAATTTTGTACAGAGTGAATATACTTGAAAACTAATCTCTTGAAAAAATGTTTCAAGTTCCTTTTTTAAGGCATGGAATACCATAACATATTTCCTTGTGTCACCTTTAATTTTCAGCCCGTGATATCGTTGTCTTTTTTCAAAACTACCTCTACCCTTTTTTGGGGGGAAAAATGCATCATTTTTTTTGGAAATTGGAAAGTTTTGAATAAGAATTTTTTTACGTAATATTTTGAATTGTGAGACATTTTCAACCGGAAAGAAACTTTTTGGGGAGGGGAAGGAAATGGAAAAAATGACGATACTTAATACATTAAAAACCATTTGTGTTACAAACACTGCGATGATTTTAATCAGAAAACAGATCTCAAAAGCACTTTCATAAAATCAAAATAATAACATACATACGAAATTTACGTACATTACTACCGATGCCATCACCGTTTGGGAAAAATGTACAACTTTAATATTGGGAGGAATTTTATGCCATTTTTTTTTAAGTAATTGGGAATTTTCTCTAGGAGGAAAAGCCGAATTTTCTGAGGTTATTTGAGGCGTACAATATCACTGTCAGCTATGAAATTACTCGAGTATCATTTTTGGTATTCCATACTCTGTACTACATTTACTACCAAGAGATACTTGACTAATCGTTGACATCCCTAGTTTGAATTTATTTGATAAAACTCTTCGTGTTCACAGAATCAGGGGAAGAGATATAATTTAAACTGAATGTTCCTCCATTAGAATAATGCCTTGCAATAAACATATAAATCCCTTTTGAACGGAGAAATCTGACTTTTGTCAGATATGTAACATGTGCATGTAAAGCACATGTCATGGATGCCATTTTCCCTTGTTTACATAACATATACAATGTAGCCTGAGAACCATGACCTGAACATTAACAGAATCTTAAGGTGGTACCAAACACCTTGACTAAAATTAATTTAGCTTGTTTAATTTTCATAAAATTTTGACAAAGTATTTACTTCGACCCTTTGACAAAAATATAAAAATTTCAAAAAACTTGAACCACACACTTTATCGGAAAAATTTCATTGGATATATAGCAGTTTGACAAACACTAATTTTGATCATTGAGAAGTTTAATATTTCCTTAACAATAGAATGTGATTAAAACGCTCAGCTGATTGTTACAGAGTTATCTCCCTGTAGTGTTATGTACCACCTTAAGAAAACTTTAAGTGGATGCATTATAATTACATCAATCATGGTTATCTTCATATATTTCATAATTTAAAGAAATAAAACATGTAACAAGTAAGATTTCAGTTTAGAGACAATTTAAACAAGGGAAAATGGCATCCATGACATGTGGTTTACATGCACGTTACAGGTTGCACTTTGTAAATACAGCTGTTTCACAAACCACGCCTCTTTTGGGGAGATATATAATATTCATAGATATTTTGTTTTGTTTATGTACTGGTTCCCAGATATAATCTCTATGTTTTATCTCATAGAGACATAACTTGGGAATGTTACCAGTATAAATGCACTTGGTAGCGGCGAAAATTGAATTCTGAGGAAGACACAAAGTGAAGGGAGGGGTAGTTCAGAATTTTAGTACAAGTTTAAACTCTCAGAAGTTGGGGGCATATAAATGTTGAAATATGCCACACAGCCCTATGTTATGACCTTTGAATAAAATAGTAGTGCATTTCAAATTTCCATTCTAGGATATAATTTTTTAGGAAACTTCATAGTAATTATAACAGTTTTAGACCTAAAGGGAGTTCCTATGGGAAATTGCATTGTCTATATTTACAGAAGTGCAACCTACATATCTGACAAAAGTCAGATTTCTCTTGTCAATTGCAATAAATTATTCAGAAGAACATGCAGTTTAACTTTTATTGATGATTCTTTGAACACAAAGTTTAATCAAAATTTTTCCCAATGTACTGCTCTTGTATTCATAACAAATTCAAACCATTTGAACTGTAAGGGCATCTAATTCACATTAATAACAGGTTTTAACTGCCTCAAGACAGAGAAGGAAAAACTCAGTAATTCTGTGAATGTGGGAAAACTTAACATTGTAAAAATTTGTCACATTCCCTATGATATGATCTTTCTAATTTTATTGCCAAATTAGAGTTTTTACCCCAATTTCACGGTCCACTGAACATAGAAAATGATAGTGCGAGTGGGGCATTCGTGGACTATGGACACATTCTGGTTTCAACATGATGTAACATGGTTTTGCAAAATATAGTTTTTTTTTATTGTGACAAAGGAGCTGCTGCTTTCATTCTGTGGTGAACCCTGTAAATGCTTTCAAAGATTTGGGGTCAAGTAATGTTGGCAATGTCTTTTTGTTTTGCTTCGGATCACGGTGCGAAACCATTAGTTTCCATCAATATTCATGACATCTTGAAACTTTTACTTGTGGTTAAGATTCTATTTGCTAAAATGACGCAAAATTACTAACATGTCCCGGACATAAGCACATATAAAATACAGAAGATACAGAAGATAAGAAATAAAATTCAAGACACAATTTTTAAGTATTGCTTTATGATGACGCAATTTATAATACGTACCTTTTTAGAAAGGTTAAACTTTTCTTTCATTATAACTTATAATGGTTGACAACAGATATGTTCTAATTGTCATAACTACAATGCCATACTTTTTTCCCCAAAAGAGAATACTGAATAAGACTTTTCACCAGGTTTTTACTAACATGAGCAATACGACAGGTGCCACATGTGGAGCAGAATCTGAGTACCTGAGATCACCACCCATTTTTGGTGGGGTTCGTGTTGCTCAGTCTTTAGTTTTCTATGTTGTGTTTTGTGTACTGTTGTTTGTCTGTCTGTTGGTCTATTTCTTTTTTAACCATGGCATTGTCAGTTTATTTTTTACTTTTGAGTTTGAATGTCCCTTTGGTATCATTTGCCTCTCTTTTATATGGGTGGCCCTGAAATCACTGGTTAAAGTACCATTCTATGAACACAATTTTTTGTCATCAACACTCTTACTGGAAATTTAAACATCTGTTGGCATAAAAATAAGAAGATGTGGTATGATTGCCAAGAGACAACTTTCCACCAGAGATTAATTGACGTACAAGTTAACACCGTTCATCCTAAAGTTTGTAGTTGGTTTTAGCCGAGTTTAGTCACAGTTTAGTAGAAACAAAACAAAAGTTTAGTAGCAAGTCTAATGAAAGGATCATTTATATGTATTTCAAAAATGAAAATAATTTTTCTATTCTATCGTTTCTCAGATATGAACTGTCATACTTTTTTCATAAAACAGATAAAATAAATTGGGAATGTGTCCATGGGACACAGATGATGCCCCCACTTGCATATCATATAAAGTTATAAAGGGACATAACTGAAGAACGGTAAAAGTGATGCCCAAATTTGTACTTGATCTGAGTTTTGTGGTAATAAGTATTGTGTATAAGTTTCATAAAATTTGGTTGAGCCAAACTTGTTAGAGAACGGAAACAAAAATTTCAGCAATTTGTCCATTTGTAAAGGGGCATAACTCTAAGAACAAGAAAAGTGACACCCCCCAAAATTCAAACTTGATCTGTATTTTGAGGTAATAAGCATTGTGTAAAAGTTTCATAACATTTGGTTGAGGCAAATTAAATTAAGAGAACGGAAACGAAAATTTCAGCAATTTGTTCATTTGTAAAGGGGCATAACTCTAGAACAATAAAAGTGACACCCCCAAAATTCAAACTTGATCTGTATTTTGAGGTAATAAGCATTGTGTATAAGTTTCATAACATTTGGTTGAGGCAAACTAAAGTTAGAGAACAGAAACCAACTTTGGGATGTATGGACGTACAGAAGGACAAGGGTGAAACTTTATGCCCCAGCGAGGGCATAAAAATAGCCATAAGAATTCCCTACAACACTGACCAGATGGATGTTATTATGATTTCAATGTCCACATAGAACAAGCCAAACTTTATAACTGGACATTTTGTAGTAAGAAATGGCTTCATCAGACCACATCCAATAAAAACAGCTATTTACAGATAACGTTCTGCCTACTTACCGAAATATGATACTATCAAGATCAAAAGGGTATTCTATAATCCCTGTAGTGGGAACTCTGACACGTAAAATATCTTGTAACGTGGGTAGATAATTTGGTTGAGTTAATCTGTCTACATCGTCCAAGTAACTGAAATAGAAAAATCAAAGTTTAAGTAATTGTATATATATATATAATTGCCATACAAAGATAACCACTGGCTTTTAAAGGGTTCTTTTTCCCCCGAAATGTGACCCAACGAATTAAGACTTATCACTGGGTTTGTACTTATATGAGAAACACGACAGGTTTAACATGTGAAGCAGGATCTGCTTACCCTTCCGGAGCACCTGAGATCACACCTGGTTTTTAGGAGGGATTCCTGTTTCTCAGTCTTTAGTTTTGTATGTTGTGTTTTGTAAACATTTGTCTGTTTTCATTTTTTGCCATGTCATTGTCAGTTTATTTTCGACTTTGAATGTCCATTTGGTATCCTTTGGCTCTCTTTTAACACACACTACAGTATAGGTTGATCTTGTCATTTTAGCCTTCCCACTAAAATTACACATATCCAATTTAAACTCAGGTGTTGTATGTGTAAGCCTTATCAAACTCAGGTGTTGTATGTGTAAGCCTTATCAAACTCAGGTGTTGTATGTGTAAGCCTGATCAAACTCAGGCGTTGTAAGTGTAAGACTTATCAAACTCAGGCGTTGTATGTGTAAGCTTGATCAAACTTAGGCGTTGTATGTGTAAGACTTATCAAACTCAGGTGTTGTATGTGTAAGCCTTATCAAACTCAGGTGTTGTATGTGTAAGCCTGATCAAACTCAGGCGTTGTAAGTGTAAGACTTATCAAACTCAGGCGTTGTATGTGTAAGCTTGATCAAACTTAGGCGTTGTATGTGTAAGACTTATCAAACTCAGGTGTTGTATGTGTAAGCCTGATCAAACTCAGGTGTTGTATGTGTAAGCCTGATCAAACTCAGGTGTTGTATGTGTAAGCCTGATCAAACTCAGGCCTTGTAAGTGTAAGCCTGATCAAACTCAGGCGTTGTATGTGCAAGACTTATCAAACTCAGGCGTTGTATGTGTAAGCCTTATCAAACTCAGGCGTTGTATGTGTAAGCCTCATCAAACTCAGGCGTTGTATGTGTAAGCCTCATCAAACTCCGGCGTTGTATGTGTAAGCCTCATCAAACTCAGGCGTTGTATGTGTAAGCCTTATCAAACTCAGGCTTTGTATGTGTTAGCCTTATCAAACTCAGGTGTTGTATGTGTAAGCCTTATCATACTCAGGCGTTGTATGTGTAAGACTTATCAAACTCAGGTGTTGTATGTGTAAGCCTTATCAAACTCAGGCGTTATAAGTGTAAGACTTATCAAACTCAGGCGTTGTATGTGTAAGCCTCATCAAACTCAGGCATTGTAAGTGTAAGCCTTATCAAACTCAGGCATTGTATGTGTAAGACTTATCAAACTCAGGCATTGTAAGTGTAAGCCTTATCAAACTCAGGCATTGTATGTGTAAGACTTATCAAACTCAAGCATTGTAAGTGTAAGCCTTATCAAACTCATGTGTTGTAAGTGTAAGACTTATCAAACACAAGTGTTGTAAGTGTAAGACTTATCAAACTCATGTGTTGTAAGTGTAAGACTTATCAAACTCATGTGTTGTAAGCGTAAGCCTTATCATTTTGATGAGAGAAAAGAAATTCCCCTTGATATGATTGATTGTTTGTTTATTTAACACTACATTCAGCACTATTGGCTATATGATGGCAGTCAGTTGATACAAAGGTTGAACTACTTAGACTGCTTTGCCACAAGGCCCATCCACTTGAAATGGTTTGCAAATCAAAACAACTAGAAGTTGTGACACTCCAGCTGCGGATTGATGGAACAAGATGTACTATTGCACACTAATCATACATCCACTCAATGTTGTTGCCTATGTGATGAATATTGTGTGCATGAGATATATCCCATGCAGTCTACACGATCAACTTTTAAATCTACAAGCCCTGACCTCAATTTTTGGAAAATTTTAATTAGATTCTGCTGGCCTGTAGAGATAATTTTCACAGGCCATAAAGCAATTTTACAAGACTTGGCTGCTGGGCCTGTGGCCAAGCGTGAAGACTGCCCATGTACATGTTTTTCGGCAAGCAGGAAGTACATGTAGGACAACCAAGGAATTGAAATGAGTCAAATCATACGACATAACCAGATGAAACTTTGTGCTATGTATCAAGAAAATCACTACTGTGGATTCAATATCATTTGTTGGACATACCAATTTTTGTGTATTTTCATGTGTAATATTTTCAAAATTATAAGATATTCTTATTTGTTGGACAAACCAATTTTTGTGTATTTCATGTGTAAGGTGTTCTAAAAGGTATCACTCCCTGTCACGGTAAGTTAATGGACTGTATCCCTGCCCTACTTACTACTTGGCTGAGTCTGTGAGCTGGTATTCTCTCCTTCTATCATAGCACTCTTGTATACCACTATCACACCATAAAAGCTTTATGGCATCAACGAATTGCTGGTCAAATGTTGTCACGGTCTCATAGTCCACTTGTCTGATCATGCTTCCATTCTCCTGCAAAGAAAAAGGGGGAAAATACATAACATTTTTATCTCTAACATGAAGTGACCATAATTTGTTGGAGGTTCAATGCAGTTTTTTGTCTATGTTCTCTGGGGAATTACATTCCATCCAAGATTAGGCTTGAATAATAATTAACTCTTGTCCTTAAAACGATCAACTAGAATTAAGTGGATTAACTCCATCTTAATCAGAAATACTTTTCTCTTCATCGCTATCATTCAAAAGCTTATCAGATAATGTCAGGTAGACTTGACAATGAAGTCAATATGAAAATAAGTACATTTGTAAATCTGGTTTGAGTAATAATGCAAAAATGGAATCTCAACACATTTAATAATGTTAGACAAATGGTTAGAAAACAATTTCAAAATGGTAACCTGAAAAAACCTTGTCTGACAAAATCATCTCAAAATAGTTCGAAAAGGTAAAGGTTCACTATCTAGTTGACAATTTAATTACTGCTCCAAACAAAAAATTCACTGGATAATAAATAATTACATTACAATTCTTTGGGTCAATTGGTCAATTTTTTTTTTTATTTTACTGGTCCAACAAGCATTTTCCTAGATTGGGAGTTGGCATGTGCAAACCCTTACTGACAAGGAACAGAAGACTTGCCCATCATGTGCCAACTCTCAATGGCACAGAAGGAATAGGCAAATTCACCTGAAGTGTATAAGGCCCTGTTAATCTTCACTTTCACCTGATATATTCAAAACCTAAAATTTTAATATAAAATGCTAAATCTGAATATAGTTGTTACAGTTATAATAAATACATGTTTAAGATAGTGGACCAAAACAAAATCATTATACCAATTTCAGAACTAAACCTTTTTTATTATGAAAACAAATATAAAGTAAAGGCTTTTAATTTTTTGTTGTATTACAAATTGCTCTTATTTTCACTTGTGATTCAGCCATTTTAGGAAAACTCATCTTTGTTGGTGTCATTAAGTGTTAATTACAAAAAAAGCATTGGGAAATTAAAAAAAATTGTCCAGAAGCTAATGTGTTTTGTTATGGCATTAAACTTGATAAATGTTAATTTTAAAATACAAAAAAAATTTGTTCACATGTTAATTAAGCTTAAAAAGGTCCATAGCCAAAAATTATTTATATATCACTTAAAAGTTATTGCTGATGATTTTATTTTTAAAATAAGGCTAATGAAAATGGAGTATGTGAGACAATATCCATTTTAGACCAGAAAGGAAAAGTTTTTTTCTAAATTATCAACTAAATGTAGAAGTTAAAATTAACAACAATTTAATTTTAGAATGAAATAATCTTCTTTGACCATTGAATATAATCTAAATTCAAAACCTTGAGATTGAAAATTCTGAATTTCTTTTTTAAGAACTGCTACTTCATTTTTCGTACTTCGGACATGATTCAATAAAACCTACAATAAAATTTACTTGTGATGCATTTTAACAAACCACATAACAATATCCAGAATGCAACATTTTAGAATCTTAAGAACTATGTCATAATGGGAAATTCTGTTGTTTAAACATGAAATTTAAATTTAACAATGAATTAATTGCGTAACTATCCATTTTAGGATACATGTGTTAATTATAAAGAATAATTAAGAAAGAATTCCTTTTATTTTGAAGTGCAAAATTCCACCCCCCCCCCCCCCAAAAAAAAAAAAACCATTTGTTAGGACTTAAGGGGTAAACCGATTTCTCAATTCTGCTTGTCAAAGTCTTCTTATGCAGTCAACAGATAAAACGGATACTACAAACTTACTTGGTTCTCTTAGATCATGTAACAAAAGCTAGGACGACAATGCTTAGTGTAGGTCTTAAATTTGGCATTGTTTTTTTAAAGTAATAAAGGAAGATATAATTGGTGAATATCCAGAAAGATAACAAACAGGGTACTAGACAGATAATGGACAAGGTACCAGATAGATAATGGACAGCAGGATACCAGACAAATAATTGACAGGGTACAAGTCTAAAAGTGCAGTGAAAGTCAAAGGTTAAACTACATATTTTAACTGAGTGAGTCAAAAGTTTTCGCTATGGCTCAAGTGTCGTTCTGAATAATTAATAATTAAAAAAGAATTATCATTGATTATACATGTGTTAATCTGTTAATAGCTGAAAACAATAGTTAAATATAAAAGCAACTCTATGAGGCAAAGAAATGTGAAGTTTTCTTCTTACAATCTACAAAATAGTCTTAAGCTTATACTGTATAAACAGAAAAATATGTTCTCCTTATTTTCATATTGAAAAGAAGACAGACCAAAAATTTAAGGAAGGCCTCAGACACTTTCATATTTTTTTAATTTTCATATATCTTATTCAGATCATGTCTATACTAAAGTTGTTTTTCAATGGTATGCAACCAAGATTCTTCATTGTTGTAGTTAAGAGCTTAAATAGAGAAGCGGGATCTGCTACCCTACTACATGTACTACAGCGCTTGGGTTCACTCCAAGATTTGTTCTGGTTTTTGTTGTCTTTTTCTTTTGTTTGTGGTCATAGTGTTTTCCTTCCACTTATGGTTTTTAACAATTGAAGAATGTGTCCATCTGACAAAGATAATGCCCTCGCTTGCATGTAACGCTATAAAGGGAGATAACTAGAGAACTATAAAAGTGACGCCACCCAAATTCGAACTTGATCTGTGTTTTATGGTAATAAGCATTGTGTATAAATTTCGTAACATTTGGTCGAGGCAAACTTAAGTTAGAGAATGGAAACCAATTTTGGGGCATACGGAAAAAGGTAAAACTGAATGCCCCATCTGCTAATAATAATCCTTTATATAATTACATCATTATTATTTTCAAAATGGTGTCCAGTATGACATCAAATTAACAAATTTTCACAAGCTGATTTCATAATGAAATGTACATTCAAAATGTACTTAATCTTATGCATGCAAAAAGCTTTTCTGGATTTACCTTCATCTGGAAATCTCAAGGCCCAAGATTTAAAAGTCAAGGATGTATGTATAAGACACAAAAACTTGTGAAGAGGTATATGACCATGAAGTGACTTAAAAAGTTCAGAAATTGTTGGAAACTTTGTGTAAATCGAAGTCTTTTCTGTGTTTGGTGCTAAGGGTAGTCAGCTGGTACTAAAAGAGGAAACCTGTGTACTGTAAAAGCAAATCTACGGTCTGATAAATAAAGTGCATGAGGGCCAAGTGTGTTAGATTGGCCAGAAGATGGAAAGTGAGGCCTCCTAATGTGTTAAATGGCCCAGATATTAATCACACCTGTTACCTGTGTCAGTTTTTTATCTGTAATAATACGCATATTTATCTGTAATTAAAGCACAATGTCCTCTTAAAACAATGGAATAAAAGAAGAAACATGTATATTATTGCAATGGTGCCTCAGTAAAGTTACCATGGTTACATATAAACAATTGCTGAATACCCTATTTACCATAAATAAAGCCATTAAGCTTAGTCACAATCTGATTTGAATTCAGATCCTGTGTACTGTCCAAGCTTCACTTACAAGGATCGGACAGCACTCTGTTGTCTGTTCTACTTTCTATTCGGATGACTTTTAAATCAACTAAAGAAATTTCAGCCCCAAATTTTTTATGGTGTGCATCCTCACGACAAAACCCTGAATTGTCTTTAAAACATAAAGTAGCGATGTCAGATATTGTCAGTGAATCAAGTACATAGGATCTGTATTTCAACCAGATTGCCTTAGTCTTATAGTTAGTGCATGTGGATGAACCTTTAGCAATTTGTGGTCTTTCTGATAGATTAAAAAACTTTCCATTGTGTATATTTTTCACAACTGGCAGGGGTTCAAATTTGCTTTAAATAATGAAAGATCCAGGACCATTTGAAATTTGAGTGAAAGGTCCTCCATATGAAATCAATTGTCGTGTATAAAGCATCAGTGTAAAGAATGGTAGGTCCTTGACTTATGTAATTTAAAAATGAAACGTCATCTCCTAGAAAAGACATGTCCAGAACCTTGGACCCACACTAATTTGAACACCTGCAACATAAAAGTTACATTCCTATTTCATGTATTTCCCATGTTTACCTTTGAACTCAGTATTGGGATTGTATTAACTGCAATTGGTTTTCAAGGTCAAAGGGAATTTTCTATAGTATTTTAATATGCTGCATGGTGCATTAATAGATGTTATATAGCTTATTATGATATAAATCATTGTGAACTTCTGTCGATCAATTGGTGACAATCTTGCAGAACTATGAGTGGTAAAAATATAGCTAAATTGCTCTTTAATTGGATATTCGATAATCAACTTTTAATTTAATTCTTCAACATTGTTCATAATCTGCATGTTGCAGAATCCTACATACCTATAAAGTCTACTAAGTCTATTAAGAGGCTTATTCAAAATAAATATGGTACAGCAGCAAGGAACAACCGTGTCTGTTAAACATAATCATACAAAATACTAAACATTTAAAGGAGAAACGATATACCATAGTTTAATAAAAATATAACAATCTTCAGGTTCAATGTATTTACATATTCAATGCTCACGATTATTCCATTCCATTAAAATGAATGTGAGAGGCAGTGATTTTGTTAGCGCTCGTCATTTTCGTCATTTATGTAAAGGTTTTCAAAATGACGAAAGTATTCCAAATCAATTTCATCACTTAAATTTGGAAAGAGTAAAAATATTTTCGCATGAAAATACTATAATTCTACCTGTCTTAATGTTTCTGACAAGTTTATGACCCTCAGCTAATTAACATTTACAACAGGTGTTAAAGTTGTGATTACAGATAATCCACTTATCGTCATCGGATGGGTTACTAATCCGTTAATTATTTATCAACCTCATAATTGATCATCATAATTATTTTCCTCAGTAAAATCAGTCAGTCGGCATTTCAATTTCAATATTTATCAAACGAGCACAATTTGCAGTTCGTTTGTCGTAGTTTCGTCATTCGAGTTTTACATCTGACAGTTCGCATTTTAATTTCAATATTTCTCAAACGATCACAATTTGCAGTTCGCTTGTCATAGTTTCGTCAAATGAACGTATTTTCATCATATAACTTTTAATCAAAAACTTTCGACAATTTCGATTAAAAAGATAGAACTTTATTCATAACATTCAGAAATGTTTTCACGAGTCAAACAGGTGCTTCCTTTACGATGAACTGCGCATGCGCGAAAGTATTCTTATGAATTTAAAGACACTAAAACGTAAAATACGAAATTTATAAATATAGTTCTTATTTAGCAAATTTAATTTAAAAATGATAATTTCCTGCCTTTTTTAAACACGAACTAATCCGTAAATGAATCCGGATTCATTCTGAATTTGTTATCCACTTGTCACTTCCCGTTTTCATTTCATTTGGAAATCTAAAGTAAACGTGATCTATTCGGGGGATCTTTTTACTGAGAGGGAATGAACTATTCCCCAAAATCACCCAAACACAAACAAAAAAAGAGTAATTTTGCATAGGTCAATGGATATACATGTACATAGTTATAAATGAGCCACAACAAATGTCCAAAAATCAAACTTCCCTTCTACATTTATTTCAATGGAATAGTCCTCTCTGACCCTTTTGACTTGTTTGGTATTTCATTTTCAATAAAATCTTTTATGTTTGTTTCCAACTGTTACCAAAACTGGTTCCCTGTGCACACAATATATAGTGGACATGCCATTTCCATGATTTAATCACAAAAATTAAGCATAGATACATTTCAGAAAGTTATTTAAGATTTTTCATACTAGTTTTTAACAATATATATGTAAGCTGTTGTGCTTGTCTTTGATTTTCTACGGCTAAGGTGGACTTTCCATTCAAACAAAACAAAGATTTTGCAGTAATTGAGTGCAAAAAAGTTGACTCATTTTTCAAAGGTGTTGTGTAAATTTCACAGTGAACATGTTAAAAAAAAGAAATGGCATGTCCATTAGATACAGAAAAAGTTTGGTCCAATCCCTGCTACTCCCATCAAGGGTTGGAAATAACAAATTCAACCTAAGCTGTGGTTTCCCTTGACCCTTACTTATATCCAGCTAATCTACAGACTTGGATTTAAATTTTATATATATATATATTACAAAACTTCAGGTACAAAATGTAGGTATATCGTTTCATCTCCACTTAATGTATACATGCTGTTAAAGTATCTTAAAGCAGCCAAATCTACCAAGTAAACATCACATAGAATCAGGACAAAAACTGTTGTGCTTTTAGTAACTGGACCATTACTTAAGTTGACCCTTGATTTACATGGTCAATAATAAATGGACATTCTGTTCCAATTCTAAACTTTGACTAAATCTTTTTTTTTATCTTTTACCATGTTTACAGGATTCGACATTAACTTTTTAACAACTCACCAAAAAACTTCCACTTTAAGCAAGTGACCATGATATATTACTTATCCGGAAAAAATAACCCACTTGTCTTAATGTTGTACTTGCTTAAGCAATTTCTAAATAGCCATTATGTACATAAGATCATGCAAATGCAATTTGAAATGGAATTAAATGTAGCGAATTGTTGTACAGGAAGTGTTGTACAACCATGGCAACTACAACCAGTTCAGCAAGGACCTAAGAGCTACAATGTAACTAAAAGAAGAGTTGGTGGCTTTTAAGTCATAAGGTAATATTTTTGTAATTTTCTGTGTATATCTTTTGTTGTCTTATTTACCAAGACTTATTGTCATACATGTCATATGATAAACATTACAGTAAGATCTCAAAATAAAGATTTAAACATTTTTTTTTATTTGACCTGTCACCAAACTTTCTACTTATTTACACAAATGCAATGCTTCTTTTCATAAAAACGGAATAGGCAGAGAACTTTAAAAATAAATCTAACAAACCCCTACTCATTTTCAGGGTTAAAAACTAAAAACACATCATTTTTTGCCTAAACCTCATGCAAGACATTTACATATATGTATGGCATATACATTGAACACAAACATTGGAATTCACAAACATGCAAATTGTTGCTAAACAAAAAACACTGCATGAAAATGCCCAAATTTATACATGTTATAGCAGGCCTAATACATGAGAAAAGTGGCTAAAAACTACAATTTAAGCCTTTTTTAAATCATAGATAATGAAGTGCCATGAAAACTGCAAAATCTCAACAAATTGGCTAAACTAAAAATACATGTTCAAATGAAAAAGTCTTATATTTTAGATATTAACGACAAAAAGGAAAATAAGCCTAAGGTAAAAAATTAAATTTTTTTTCTTTGAAATAAAATCATATGATTTGTGTTACTCTTGTTTATATATTAAAATTTGTACAAAAAGTACAATTCTCAATCAATTTAAGAAGTCGACTATAAATCTTTAGTAGAGTATTTTTTCTTGGACGGTTAATTATCAGCATCGATAAATCATTCTTAGTTGAACAAGTCAACTAATTATTACCCTCCAATTTAGCTATGCCACATGGACATAGTATGAAGGTATCCAGACTCTTTCCTTACCTCATTGTCAGGATTGTGGTAAGCTATTTTGAGCGTGTCCATAGCCCTGATCATGGCATGCATGGCCATGAAGATATTTTGGTAGACAATTTTAATGAACCCTCGTTTGTCATCATCAGAGTAACCTGCTCCGTGGATAATTCTCATCTGTTTTATAAATGTACTTTTACCACTTTCTCCTGTACCTGTAAATAGAGAGAAAATTATTGGTGAATTATTGAAAAACATAATTTTTACTACTTTCTCTTATATAAAATTGAGAATGGAAATGAGGAATGTGTCAAAGAGACAACAACCCGACCAAAGAGCAGAAAACAGCCGACGGCCACCAATGGGTCTTCAACACAGCGAGAAAATCTCGCATCCTGAATGTGATATATATGTGATAATTTCCAGAAATACAGGATACCTTGAAGTGGTTTTAGTGTTTCTTCTACAGAGGAACAGTAGGAGGGGATGTCATCAAGAATTCACGAAAAAATTAAAGCATTCTTTCCACGACCCAGAAAAATTAATCATTAATTTCAGAGTCCAGATAAGGGTAAATCCTGAATTTCTGCTAAAACCATGAAAAATAAGGCCTATTCCTGATTTCCCACAAAATTAATGGCCTAATCCTGAATTCCCACAACAATAAAAGCCTAATCCTGAATTTCCACAACAATAACACAATGAATAAAGGCCTTATCCTGAATTCCTACAAAAATAAAGACCAAATCATGAATGCCCACAAAAATAAAGACTGAATCCTGAATTTCCACAAAAATAAAGGCCTAATCCTGAATGCTGCCTCTCTCTATATTTACCACTGAGTTTGTGAGTTCCTATCCCACTCAACAGAATGTGCGGTGGTGAATAAAATTAGGAAGGAGCTGTACATGTGCTACATGAGTGGAAGTTCAGCACACTTGTATTAACATGATTTACAAACGTACTGCCTGAAAGACTTGCAACTGCTAAATCTACATGTACATTTTAACACTCCAGGTTTCTCACACATTTTTATAGAACTGCTACTGCTATTTTTTTCTCACATGAGCACATGTGTTTATTGTTCTACTGACCTATTATCAATCACTCCTGCATGACACCAATGCATTGGGCAACCAAATTAACTCTCTTACCATGCTTACAGGATTCTATGTCTCATTAAGAACTTAGGAAAGCCATGGGTAGATGTCAATGGGAGAGAAAGGTTTTTCTCTAAGATTAGTCCATGAAACAGTTTCACAAAAAATCTTACGACTTAATTTTTTCAAATGTATACTGAATTGTTCATGACTTACGATCAACTTAAGTCATAACATTTTTTTTGTGAAACTGATCACTGGACTTATCAAAATCAGTCCATAAAAAGTTCAATTTATTTCAATTACGTTTTCTTAAAAAGATGTCTTAAAACAGTAATTTTTGTGATTTGGCCTAAGATAATATTTGTGTATTAAAATGACATGCTATTCAATCAATACTACTACCTGACTACTGACATTATACTCTGGTTACACCTAACTAATACCAGGTATTACACTAATTACTCATCAGTATTTATCAATGGACAATCTCATCTTAAACTCTAACTTGGACTGTTCCTAACTATAAATTACAAACTGTCAACATGGATAACTCCTCCGACCGTGCGAGGGCTGAACAGCCAGTCAAGGTCGTTAAACACTTCCAGTAGTAGGATAACTCCAGTCTGGGAACGATCACCTATATATATAGAGATCAGGGTTGTCACTAAGGATTTTTGAAGGCAAGTCCTGGGACTCGTCATATTTGGGCATGGCGAGTCCAACAGTGAGAAGATGAAATCTGATTGCTATATAATTAATTTATTACTATTAGTATCCAGACAAAAAAGAGCAAGGAAACAGATGCGGATCCAGGATTTTGATAAAGGAAGCCGTGGGCAAACTTTGCAGTGGAACCGGTAAAAAGTCTGGATTAACCATAAATGAAGATTAATAAGGGGGATTATTTTTAAACTTTTGATATAAATGATGATACATATGCTCAGTTGATACATTTTACCATCTTGATGCACGCATCTTTGGATAATGAGTCCAGACAGATTTTCACAAGTCCAGGACTTTTTGACTCGGCTTAGTGAGAACCCCCGAGAGATGGTTGAATCCAGTTTTTGACAAATCTAGGTACATTATCTGCCAGTATATGTTACAGTAACTAACAGTCAATGATTGTCAAAATGTTTAAATCAGTTATGAGCAGTTATTCCCAGTGGTCATTGGAATTTATAGATCATAATGAATACATATCTCAACAAATAATGCTCAGTCCATAAAAGACAATGTGTTGTTGAATTGGAAACTGAAAGGCCAAAGTGTTTTGTTGGAAGGTCATACAATGTACACTATTATGTATTCAAAGCAATTTGAATCAGTATAGAAATTCTTGCCCATTCAAACCATTTAACACACCGGGTATCCCGAGGAGCAATTAATGAAAAGTTTGTAATGGTGCATAGGTAAAATCTGGATCCGATTTCCAGGGAGCATAATTCCAGATTTTACTTATCCACCATTACAAAATTTCCATTAATTGCTCCTCAGGATTCGGCTCCCTCTGCGGTTTCAGATCGGGATACCCATTGTGCTTAAAGGAGAAAAAAATTCAAAATAAAATGTGTGTTTAATACAAACTCCGGTTTGTATACAATAATGTAAGCATATATCACATTATCATAGGATAACATGAAATAGAAATTCTTTTTTTATAATTTTCTATTTTGAATTTACCACAAACCATGAAACAAATTTGTTCAAATGTATACACAAAATCAGTCTTTGGCTCATGGCTTCCAAAACGGCCATATATTCCGGACATTTATAAATTTACCGGACATTGTCAGTCTGGGAAAAGCATGAAACGGACATCTACTTTTAGTTTTCAAGGCTTTCTTAAGAGACGGTCAATACATTTTAACATAATTTAAAAAGTTTTTGCGGTCTTTTTGACCCGACCTTTGCCTTTAAACAACCACACATTTCCGGTCATAAAAGTGACATGATGAATAAGTACTATCAAAACAACCCCTACTTTAATACCTTCTCATTTTAATCAAGGTTAATTAGTTGTCAGACAGCTAAAATTTACCTGTTCAGGCGACAGGTTAACTATTTTGTACCAGACATTAATCGGTCTATTCAAAGGTTATATTTTCTTACATTTCAGCGGTCTGCATCTAATTAATTTAGTCAAAAAGATTGAAATTATCAGAAATACGGTTATAAATATGATTTGATGAAAAATTTAAAAAGGTTTTAAACGAAAAACGTCAGAACCACGTTGTTTGAACTATTACATGTGTGCGCATGTGGGAAATTTAATTATGCATCCTAATTCTTCAAAAATGTTAAAATTATCATTGATACCTTTATCTAACGTTCACTTAGAGTATTTTCTTCAAGAAATAACGTGGAAAGAGCTACTTAAACTCAATCATGCTTTGTAAACGTACACGGATTTTACGTATACATCTCTGGTCCATGTTTTACCATTGTCAAGTCAATATCCGGAATTAGGAAAATGTGCTTTTTAAAAACGAAAGTAAAGTTTTTGACAACATTATTTTGCACAAATAAAGAGTCTAAGGCAGATATTAGTACGCTGATGTTGCACACTTCGAATGATGCACAGTCAATTTAACAGTTTATGTCAGAACATCGAATTTATATCAAAGTAAAGTTTAATATCGTTTTTTTAATGTCAATCGTTGGTTATATGATGGCCAACTGATTACTATAATTGCCTTTTGTTACTAAGTCTTAAGGGATTAAAATCGGGATCAGACATAAAATGTCCGGCTGGCTCAAATATTTCTTGGAAGCCCTGCTTTAGCTGTAAACATTTAAATACAGACAATTTCCACAACTATCACATTCTTTATAAGTTAGTATTCAATCAGCTGACTGATATGATGATCGTCATACCCACGGCTATAGAATTGGGACAGTGTTCCCGCCTGCCCTAAATAGAAGGGCGGCCCGCCCTTGGTGCCCTTACCCCCGCCCTTCTGCCCTCCAAAGTAAAAGAATACACCCCTCTGCCTTTTCAAAAAAATAAAATTTCCAAATTTCATGCCTACCGGCGTTTCCGGTAAAATTGTTACCTGATTGTGTAACACTAATTAACTGACAATGGGATTAAGTTAAATACCTAATGCTTTGGCAGTTTTATAACCTTTGTTGATGATTGTTTACTACTAATTAGTGGATTTAAGATAATTGAACAAATACTAGATATTTAATACAGAATGAAATGTCCACATGTTATCCATTTGTAATGTTTATGTACAGCATGTACACCTGAAAAAATTATTTCAGTAGGCATAACATAAAAAATAAAATCTTAAACAATTTTAAAGGCATACATAGTTTTGACTTAATTGGTAAAAAATGTTTTGTTTCATAACCATGTGTAGGAAATTTAAAGAGGAATCAAAGAAATTTGTACTTTGAACATAACAAGATTCACTTCCTGTTTTTAATACTTCTTGTATTTTATAATCCTCCTGACATAGGAGCACTCAACAAATTTATTTTTAACAATCATGACAATGATGGAGAAAAAAGTAACTTTTTATACCTTCTGCAATATATTATTGCATCAATATAAAATATGATCATCTCCTGTCTCACCTGTTATATTTATAAAACTCCTTACTGAGGAGCACTTTGGTGTGCACTTAAAAATACTAATTTGTAACAATTCAAATGATAATAAATAACTCTCAATAACATATATACTATACATGTATGTTTGAACAAGTAATTTAAATGTAGATAATTTAATTACATTCAACATTCAATTTTGCATGTATAACTCCATCTTTCAAAACTACTTGTTTATTTTGGCATAAGTTATAAGACATTGAAATTTCTGATGATTATTTTCCATACCAAATGTACAAGTTTGTTTAGATTAACATCAAAATGATATGCTTTGCTTCATGGTATGATAATTTGATGAAACAAAATTCTTACTGGAACCAACCTCAAGAACACATTAATTTCTGAATATGGTTTAAATACAACTAATGTTCTCCAGCTAAGCCTAGCAATATTCAAGGTAATTTATACACTGTCCAACATTGCCCTTAAAATCTGGGTTATAACGCTAAAGTGCCCTTTCAGACAACTAGCACCCTTCTGCCCTGAGATTCAAG